CTTCTTCATTTAAGTCCCGTATGGTCTAGCAGTTGTAGGATTTCTGTTTTTTCCACAAAGTTGACACAGGTTCAAGTCCCAGTATGGAATCAGTCTTCAGCATGGCTGCTGTCCTGCATGCCTTGGTTGTAAATTGGGTTTACAACCAATTTTTGATTCTACTTGGACATGAGCAAGGCTTCTCGTCTTAGAAAACTGCCACGAATTTGATATTTTCTCTTTTTTGGCCCATTTTCTGTAAACTGTGGAGATAGGGATGACTGGGAAAATCCCAGCAGATAAGCAGTTTCTGAAATATTTAAACCAGCCCGGCACCAACAATCACGCCACATTCAGAGTCAATGAAATCACCTTTCTTCCCCATTCTGATGCTTTGGCAGGTCCTCTTGACCATGTCTATCGTCTATGTAAATGAACTGAGCCACTGGGATTGTCATTGGCCGATTAAATATTTGTGTTACTAAGCAGCTGAACCTAACAACGTGTACCTAACAAAATAGCTGTCTTCAACCATCTCAAAGCTCTTGTAGTACACCTGTGAATGCCTCTAAAACTGAATACTAATTTACAGTCCTTTGACGTATGATTGGTAATTTAAATGTACTTTGTAAGTTGCAAAAAAACCCCCAAAAAACACATCACCTTAATCGCACTCCAGATGTCTCTGTTCTGTACAGCTTTCTGTGATTTTAGAAAACATCCAGTCAACAAATCCAGTGTTCATGTCTGGTTAACTGGGTTAGCCATGTATGAAGAACAGGGCCCTCATCTATTCTGAATAACAGCTGATATGTGCTGTATCTTTACACTGAAAGTAAGTTATAACAACTTTTCTTTTGTCATTAACAGAGTTTTTCACTTGCAGCTTAAAAAACAAACATGTTAAAAAGTAGCAGTAATAAATAGTAACAGTGCTGTGAAGATCATATGGACCTGTGTAATATAAGGCATTAAAAGAGCACTAATTTCAATTATATAACTGTGTGAAGCCTGTTTTAAGCCTTCTCATCTATCATACAAATATGATTTTTCCAATAATATATAAAAGTCTTGGAATACGTAGTTTAAAAATAAATTAAAATAAAAAATGAACCTAGCTATTAAGTTATCTTCCTTTCAAGTCCATCAGGTCACAATGATAAAGTTTATTTGTCTTCAGTAAATGCTTCTCTAAAGATGTCAGATTACTAAATCGAGTGGCATACCCCTTTAAGACATTCTCTTCCTATAATTCTAGTGTGGCTCAGTGTGAGTGTCTCTCAGCTGTAAACAACTGCAACACAACAAAAATGTAAACAATGGTTAAGATCTCGATGGCTGAAGCTGGTTCAGACGTTGGTGATTTCGACACTCTTGTAGGTGTGCATCGGGCTGCCTTTGGCTCGGGGAACCGCCTGAACCCTGGCCTCTCTGGGCAGAGAGCTGCAGCTGCCGTGGAAGCCCAGACTTCGCTCCACTGAGTGGCTGTTTGCTCGTAACCTCAGCGGACTCTGGAAAAAAAATCAAAAAGGCTGAAAACAGAATATGGAGTTTCTTTAAAGATGAGACATTTGCCTGTTTATAAAACATTATCAGCTAAAAATGTTAGTGTTAGTGTTAGTGTTTATGATGGTCTTATATCAGAATCCTCAGTTTGAATCTGACCACAAGACTTTAGTAGCCAACTACTGATTCTTCTTTTCTTATTCTAGTGTACTCACATACTTAGTATATATCTAAACATGTGAAATATCAAAAAGGATCTGCACAGCGCTGCACATTTCAGTCTTTATAAAGTTTGTCTAATACCTTTCCGGATCTTCTTATAGACATCCTCTCATCAGCAAAACGGTTAACAGCGACAGGAGAGGAACAACCAATCACCTCAGTCTCCTGCTCGGTATTACTATAAACATAAGGTGTTACAAGACGTTGTTGTTTGGGGATTGCATCCAAGAATATATACATACAAATGTATTTACAGGATAGAATATGAAGGTATGCAAGTAGGACTTTTAATCTACCTGAGAGGGACAGCGAGTGACTTCATCTCTTCATACAGGTGCCGATGAAGCATGCGTTTGTTGCTGGGGATGCCCAGGGCTTTGGCCATGGCATCTGTGTCGAAAGACTGATCCAAAGCCATCACTGCACCATGAATCCCTTTACCCTGAAGATTGTCTGCAAACTCCTGAGCAACGCAAGAGAGAAGCGTTGGATTAAGATGATGCAGTTTGCTCAGTGTGCTCATCAGTGAGTGTTAGCTGAAAAATAACTAACCTTGCAGAAATCGCTCCCTGGTCTTAACGTTTAATTTGGTAGTAATTACAAGTACACAACAAAAAAGCTTTTAAAAACAGTTTTGGTTTGTCTTTGTGGGTCATAATAAGTGTTCACCACATGTTGCCCAAAATAAGTATGTCGGTATATTGCAGAACTAAAATAAAAACCCCTCACGCTGTGTGGTCTATTCCCCATTACTGAGTGTACACTACTGTTATTCTTCTGTATTCTTTCAGTGGTTTGAGGCTTCAAAGAAACAAAGCTATCATTATTTTTGAGGGATTCTTAAAAACCCATACTTTGTGGTATCTGGTTCCAGTCTGGCAAAGAAATCTCCAGCGCAGAGGGGAATGCCATCACTGACCGCCCCACCCACCTTGAGGTCAATGTCTCTGATCCACTTCATCACTCTGTGACATGTCCAAACAATGGGATCCCGGTTTTGGTGCTCGCATTTTGTCCGCCGTGCCTGCAGGGCCTTTAAAAACACCACACAAAGATAGCAGTGCAAGCACTAATGTGGCAGAGGCCAATGAGATAATGGAGCATTACAAGCTACTGTGTGACTCCAGCTACCGCAGATAAGCATGTAGTTTTGTCACTGTAGCTGAGTGAAAGTCATGCAGTGATCGAAGAAAGATTGCTGAATAACTCCAGTCATGAATCTGTCATCATATAGTCTGACCTCTTTATCAAAGCTGAGCATCTGCAGCAGCTGGATTCCCAGAAGTAGACTGGTCTGATGGAACTGGTCACTGATGTTGAGAAATCTCTCCAGGTCTCTGCGGTTCAAAGAGTTAAGCACTCGTCCGTCCACCAAGTGAGACTGAAAGATCTGGGAGTACTGAGGCAGTCCGACATCACTCAGCCATGATGTTGCAACCCAGTGATGGTCCATCTCAGATGCTTTTGATAATCTGCAATCAGCAATATCAAACAATAACATTTATTTTAAATACATCATATTTCATGCACTCCTTATGTTGTTTTACTCAAATGCATTATATCTATATATACATATACACATTACCAGTCACACTAAATAGTATCTATTTTCATGACTATTTACATTGTGGATTCTCATTGAAGGCATAAAAAGTGTGAAATAACTCAAAACATGTTTAACATTTCAGATTCTTCAAACTATCCACCCTTTGCTTTGATTAAAGCTGTGCACATTCTTGGCATTTTTTCAATGAGCGTCATGAGGTTTGTCACCTGAAATGGTTTTACAACAGTCTTGAAGGAGTTCCCAGAGATGCTGAGCACTTTTGCCATCACTCTGCGATCTATCTCATCCCAAACCACCTCGACTGCGTTTAGGTTTGTGGAGGCCAGGCCATCTGGCGCAGCACTCCATCACTCTCCTTCTTGGTCAAATAGCCCTCACACAACCTGGAGGTGTGTTTGGGGTCATTGTCCTGTAATGACTCCAATCGGTCAGTAATGATGGACTGTCGTTTCTCTTTACTTAGCTGATTGGTTCTTGACATAATATGAATTGTAACAGTTGTCAAATAGGGCTGTCATCTGTGTACGAACCCGACTTCTGCACAACATAACTGATGGCCCCAACCCCATTAAGAAGGCAAGAAAGTCCACAAATGAACCCTGACAGGGCACACCTATGAAGTGAAAACCATTTAAGGTGACTACATCATGGAGCCCATTGAGAGAAGGCCAAGGGTTTGGAGTGCTGTCAGCAAAGCAAAGGATGGCTACTTTGAGGAATCTAAAATATAAAACATATTTATAGTTATTCATAATTTTTTCTTTGCTACATAATTCCATTAATCCTGCTTCATATTTGATGTCTTGAGCATGTATCTACAATGTAGAAAGTAGTAAAAATAAAGAAAAACCATTAAGGTGGAAAATTTGCTACTTATATTCCTGCCTTTATTTGGGAGCATTTATCAGACTAAGCAAGTAAAACAAGTACAGAAAAGCGTCCTAAAATACACATTTAGGTGTTTCTTTTACTTCTCTGTGTCTGAAGTGCATATATACATATTACTGAATATCCTTTGATATAATACCCATGCATATTAAACTTAAAATTTCAGAAAACCCATCTAAATAAAAGTGACTTGGAAAGTTTCGTGTTGATATCCATTATTTAAAATATATAAAATATATATATTTTTCAATACATAGCTTTAAAGGCTTCTTATCACACAAGCTTTCTCTTGGCAGACACAGCAAGGAGCTGCTGGGTTCAAAATGAAAGGCCAGCTGAGACCTCTCTTTGTGGAGCTCGCATGATCTCCCTGCACCTGCGTGTGTTAACTCATACTACTACAGCTTCCTCCCAAAGACATGCATGTTAGATTAAGTGGAATTCTAGATTGGCCATAGGTGTGAATGTCTCTCTGTGTTAGCAGTCCACCAGATTAGCAACCTGCTCAGGGTGTACCTCGCCTCATGCTCAGTGACAGCTGGGACATGCTCCAGCCTGAATTGGATAAGTGGTAGAAAATGGATGGAGTCGTCTCTCATACTCTGAGCCAGAAATGTCTGCTTCAGTGGCACATATTTAACTCAAAACGTTCCATTTTTATCCCTGTCTGTATATTTTTAAAGAAAAGTATGCACAGAGAAAATGAAGATTTTGAGGTCATGTTTTTTTTAACCCCCCCAAAACATGACATTAGTTATTCTGCAGTTTTATTTGGCTGTTACTCACCCTTGGTCCCCTTCAGCTCTCCTGTAATCCTCAATAGCCAATCTTATTTTCCTGCGATGAATTGGATTACTGATACCCAGGCCCAGCTCTAAATCATCATCCGTCAGGCCTAGAAGCACCTAAAGAGCAGAAATATAGCTCTCTATCAAACAAACACAACACCTCAACATGTCCATCTGCTAACATCAAACAACATCACACACAGGTAAACAAACAGCAAAAAGCAACATGTACCAAATCATACCTTCCCACTTTTGACGTTTTCAGAGCAGGCTCGGATGTACATGGGCATTCCCATGACAACCTCCAGCCAGGCCTGCACTGCACCTGCCCTCCACAGTGACATGCATGTGTTTCGAGTCAGCTCCGCCTGCTGGAGGCGGTCCAGCTGCTCCTCTCCATCAGACAGGCTTTGCTGTGTGAGGCTATCAGAGTCTGGATTGGTCAGGAGAAGTTACGGTGTGGCATACAGGAGAATTTCAGGGTCAGTTGGATATGAAAATCAAATCAGATTACACATCTGGAGACACTCAGAAGGGAGCAGAACAAAAAGTATTTCATCTACCTTAAAGTGGAACCATACTAAACTACATTTGGGATAGTACACTACAGTTTTTTCTGTATATTGAGGAGAAATCTGCATACCAAGATCAATTCATTCACGTGAGAAAATAAATTGTTGTATAACCACTAGATGGCGCCAGATTATTTTACTGGAGACGGCCAGTATCTTTGAATGAACTGTGCTTTGTTTTTTTTGTTTTGTTTTTTTAAGTAGATAGGACTGCACATTTAAATGCGTCTAAATAGAAAACAGTAGTTGAAATCAGGAATACAGAGGTCTTTTGGTTCTTCTGTGACAGTGTGGTGGTCAGTTCTAAAACTACTGCTTAGTAAAAGACGTTACAACACTAGTAACTGAGGCATATGAGGAGACTTAAGACCATTAGGATCATGTATTAGAGACAAAGGGATTATTCATAAAACATCATGCTTCTGCCCATCAGCCCCTCATCTACAAAAAACAAAACAAAAAAAAAACAGGAAACACTGATTCATACCGAACCAACGAATCCAGGATGAACTGATTCGTCTCAACATGCTGAAAAAAAGGCTGCATGCAAATCCCACCATCTTTCCAGAGAGTTTTCAAAAAACAAACGACACAAACTGGTACTCTTCAATGGACATGATACGTAATATGAATAATCCCCAGAGTGTAAGAAACAGACAGCTGGTAATCACAGATGAGGAGTTACTCACTGGCAGGAGAGAGTTGCCATTAGAAATGGCAGGAGGAGAGGGAGACACACACGTTAGACTGGGACAAAAGAAACAAACAAAAAACCCAAAAAACCAACCCAACATTACTCACGAAATAGAAAACTGCCACATTGGATTTATTCAGTTAGTGGTTTTATTTTTAAAATAAGATTTCATTTCAATTATAATTCACTTTGAAAATGCTAAAACCTCCTCGACATCTGGCTGCGACAGCTGCAGCAGATAAATATTTGAAGTCACTTGTTTGTCTCATTTCTTTTAAATAAAATACTTCAATAGATTTAATCTTTTATGCAACATTTTCTAAATTACAAACATTTAACAGATTTGTTAGAGCCACATTTGCAAAAAAAAAGGAAAGGAAAAAAGGAAAATTATAAAATGAGGAGGGATTCTATACAAATATAAAAAACAAAAAACAGCAAAATAAGGGGAGGATCATGCATTCAAAATGCAAGGAAAAGATAACCTGGTAAAAATGGGTAGGGCTACAAAGGAGCAACACAGGATTGCAGAGATTATTAATTTGGTTGGCAATGAATGGATGTCTAACCAAAGAAACACAGAGGGATCATGCACGTGTTTAATGCACATTCGTTCATCTCGTATAGGCACATGTTAGATAGCTCTCTGTAAAAAATGAGTCAGACATAAACAATGTTACGAGGCTAGTGCTAACAGTGATGGAGTGACTGAGTCTTTAAACTTTGGCACTTGCACATGGTTTTGACAGCAGGTGAGGGAGGTGCGTCTGAATACGCCTGCTCACATCTACAATTTCTACAGAAGACCGACTCTAGAAACCCTCAATGGCCAGTACGAGAGCATTATTAAAATGATTACTAGCTTACAAAATATCCACAAAAAAACTTCCCTGGTGCCCACAGTGCTGTAAATAAATCATTGTGAGCCAGCATTTATAGGAACGTGATGACAATCCTGTAGCAGAATTACCTCTCAACGAGTGTTTTCAAACCAACAGGAAACCAAAAGTCTAGTAATTTATCATTTCTATCCTTTCATAGTAAGATTTGGGCCTGCAAGACTGTGAATAATATGGAAATAAATGTTCCAAAGTATGAAAAAAGCAACTGTAAAAGTAACAAAAAACAAATAGCATTTACAGTAAAACACTAGTTTCACAATAGCTCCTATTTACATATGAACAGCAGTACTTCAAGTCTCCAGTTATATAAAAAAAAAGCATAAAACATTAAGACAATTATAATAATACAGCATAAATATGTCTACATGAAAGAAAGAGTAACCCATATATATATATATATATATATACATATATATATATGTATATGCGCGTGTGTATATGCGTGTGTGTGTGTGTAAACATATGTACATATGCATACATGTACAACTATAAATATATATCTAATTTACAAACATACAATTTTAGGGCAATATACTGTACATTTATGGTGATAGCAGTGACTTTAAGGGCTTTTCTTTAAAATTCAAAATCCTTCGCCTCCAGATAAATCCACAGACAGTCTTCACTCACAGTTAAAGCCAAGAGGATATCTACAAAAACTCAACACACACATGCACTCACACACTCAGCATCACCAGTCGGCATCCTCCTCTATGTAATAATCAGGGGTGGCTGTACCATCAAACAAGCCAGGATCCAGTGACTTGCGCTGCTTGCCCCGAGCGAACACCCTTGATAGGGATCCCAGTGTCATCTTTTCCTTCTTCTTCTTCCGCTTCTGGTCCTCAAGGTCCTCCATAGACTGAGCAGAGGAGATAGGAAAGCCGCGTTAATCAGCTGCCTTAAAGCCAGACTGTAGTTTCACATTTTTATAAACTTTCATGATGAGTAAGGAGAGAGAGAGAGATGCAACCAACTGAATCCAGACAAATACCAAAGCTTTTTGTCATTTACGCTGAATTTACGCTGCATTTTAAATTTTTATCTTGCATTTGAAGGATCAACTATTTTTTCCAGCATTATGCGTAAAATTAGCCTTATGTCAAAAGTTGTTTATCATTTACTTCTTTGGATCTGGCTGTAAAAAGTGAGTGAATTCAACCAGAGACTTAACTGCTTCTTCATTGAACTTCATGTTAAATACACTATATGAACAAGAGTACCAGGCTACCTGCATATTACACTTACAGGAGCTGCTCAACCATGAAAACCGTAGCCTCGAAGCTCCCGGTGCACAGTTTTTATGCTCCAGAGGAGGAACGCTGGGGACTTTTATGCACCCATTATTTAAGTTTACATGATCTGTCACTTTGAGGCCAAGTTACCAGTTTGCCACACCAGTCTATAATATTACTTACAGTCGATTGTTATGTATCTAGCAGGGAGGACAATTAACCAGTTGACTTGTTACAATGATGTCATGCTTTTATATTAAGAAGCCTGAATGGGACTGAAAACAGAATTCAAAGATAAAGAGGTTCGGCCCAACATTTTCAGTTTTATAGGTTCAGGTTTCTACTCGTCTTAAGAATAAAATTATATTTCATATTGAGATGCATGTAGCTATTTTGATGATGTAATAGCATCATTCTTGTTTTGTCCATTTTGAACAACATTTTCTGTATATACATTTGTGTCACTGGCTACAAAGTTTGTGGTTACACAAATATTCACAACACTTTGTGACACATTGGTGTTTGTTATGTTTATTTGCTAAAATGTTTGACATTGTGTCAAATACAGAGTGAGAGCGTAAAGCAACAATTGCTATTGAACTTGAAACTTCTTCTTAAAAAGCATTCTCTCTTTTTCACGACTGCGAGCAAATTAGTTCTAATAATTATTGCATGAACACCAAAATAACTGTAAAGCTATCAGAATGGAGGGATTAATTATCAAAAATGATATTTAAAATATATTTAATACAGTAGTTAATAACCTTTTTCACCAGATAGAGTAACTTACAGTCTCCCTGTATAGCTAAGCTAACCAGTTGCTGACGTTGGCTTCATACTTACTCATATTGAAAGATTAGGCATGAAATACACAGTGCCAAGCTAGTGCAATGCCAAACTGTTGCTTATGAAAAAACAAAAGAACTCCAACACCGGCACTGAGCAGGCAAGCAGAGCCCATGAAGCTGACAGTACAGAGGAACAGACAAGAGAAGGCAGAGTGGAGCGAGGCACTAACAGAAGATTGCGGAGGTGTGATTACTTGGTCGAGGGGGCCAGGCAGCTCTTACATTGCAGAGGGAGTGGGTCCGGTGACGAGGTGAGTTGATGTCACTTGGCGTTGACGAGCGGTCTCCATCAGCCGCAGAGGCTTCAGAGATCACAGAAGGCTGACGTGAGTGGCAGGGGCTGATCCTGACCACAGCTGAGGCGTCACACAAACACACAAACACACCGATATTGCAGATTCCCACAGTTAGTATGAGAAACCTCCTTGAAAAAACCCTGTGTTAGTAAAAGCAACACCAAGTAGCAAAGAGGCCGCGAGGCAAGGAGGAAAAGGAAACCTACCCTGTCTGTCTGTGGTGTGTCCGTGGTAGAGGGTCTGTTGGCTCTGGCGGATGGCGGCCGTGAGCGGAAGGTCGGCGTGCATCACCCACTCCTGACTGCCGTTCACCACCGGTTCTGTTGGCATAGCCACTGAGTGGCGTTTTGGTACGTCTTTAGTCAGTGTGGCCAGAGACTGCTTTGCCTAAGAAGAAAAATAAATAAATAAATAACAGAAAATTAGCATGAGAGTGAACAGGGACAAAGATGTTAACATTACAGGACAAACTATAATTACAAGGATCAGTATACACGACATAAGATTAGACAGGCTATAGTTTATTCCACTGGCTGTGACACTGGACACAGAGTCATTAAGAAGCCCACTTTTTTAAGTTGGAAATCATCAGAATAAATCTCACACGACCAACTGAGTACCAGCTGTTTTTTTTAATGAAACTCTGAAAACATCTGCCTAATATTTTGCCTCTCCGGGAAACGACATGGGACCTCGTGAGTGGCAGAGGATCCTTCAAGTATTGTGGGTTTCAGGGTGGGGCCTTTGATGATCGGGCTTGTTGTGACACATCCTTCTGCATGCTCAATCGGACTGTTATCTGTTAGCTTTTGTTGCTCTTTGTTACATTCCTCTTGCCATTCCTAGTTCTGTCGTTTTATGGGTGTGGCCGGGTGCATAACCCTGCTGGTGGAGGCCGCTGCCATCAGGGAGCACGCATTTATTCTGCAGCACTGTTTAACTGGGTGTTACCTGTCAAAGAAACATCCATGGGAATGGCGGGAGCTGAGGGGTTCCAGCAGAGCGCTGCACTGTGACATGATGATCAGTGCTACGTTGTGACTGATCCTTCAAGTATTGTGGGTTTTAAACATTAGAAAGTGCAACAGGATGGTCTATTCCTGAGATATGCTGAAGTTAGAAAATAGCCAGTGTTATAAACCGAATGTATTCATCACTTTCCATAGGACTTTATTTCTATATTTTTTTACTGAAAGCCTCTGAGAGAGGACAGACTGGAGAAAGTTGAGTTTAGCGGCAGAGAAAGCAACAACATTTTAAAGAAAAGAAGGAGACAATGATATTGTGTGGCTTGACAGTGATGCAGCTCTGGCACTGAAGTGCCAACAAATGTGATCTGTGATGGAGCGTGATGTGAGGATCTGTGGGTGGCTGTGACTTGCTGAGGGAGGAGAGAGATTAATGACACACAGACTGACAAGTGTACCTATGAGGGACTGACACAGCAGCACAGAGATAAGGCATGAATTTCTTTCTCTCAAAGCATTAAGCTTTGCTCCAGACTGAGGAAGTGGCATATTGCATGCGTCTGAACTGATATGAACATGTGACCTTCTTTGCATTTGTGCCACGTTTACCAGCTAAGAGTGGAGGTGACTCCGCTGCGGTTTAATAACTTTAGCAAAGTTGTGACTCCGTCCGACTCACCATTGTGAGCTCGGCCTCCAGTTCTTTAATCCTGTTCTCCTTCATATCCAGCTGAGAACGCAAGACGTTGGCCTGCTCTGTGGATTCTTTGGTCTGCCTCCTCAGGTCCCACTTCTCCCTCTCCAGCACGTCCTTCTCCTTTGCCAGGGCTTTCACTGCATCCTCACTCTCCTGCAGAAATCGCACACATACAGTTATCGTGATTTCACATCAAAGTCACATTGAATGATCCGAAAAAATTTTTGAGTGAAGCAGCACACATCGTGTGTTGCTGTATGGTTTTGAAAAGGGTGGCTGCTGTTTTTTTAGTAATTCCAGTTACGGACTGTTGCAACTAAGACAAAGTGATAAGCAAGACAGACTATTATGTGGTTGTGTGGCTTTATAGACATTTTGAAGGCTTTATTCATGTTTTATGCTAGCGTCTATGTTTTTATGAAGCAGTTATTACTGTTACATCGTAGAGAAACAGTTAAGCCTGTCAACAGTGCTAATTAATATCCGAAGGTGTTTCCACACCTGCGATGTTTAGTCTGTTTAAACTGAACTATACTATATGCGCACAAGTCAGTAAGGGTTGGCAAAGAGGCATGAAAAGATTATAAATTCTCCATGCTCTCAAATAGTCCAGAATGCAACACCTTCCTGTATTTACACTTGCTGCTCATGCCCCAGACACATCTGGTCTATAAGCAGACTGAATGTTCTTACGTGGTTTGTAATGACACATTGTGGTTCACTTGGATTTTTCTCTGTGTGAAATGAAACCAAACCACAGGGAAAGTCACAAAGTGTCAAACCTATCTGCTGATGGGACCACAATAAAATGACTCAAGGTGTGAAAACACTGCTAATTACTAAGACATACCCAAAGTACCAAAATGGGAATACACAAACCATGACGTCACCGTGGCTACATCCATCTTTCATGTACAGTCTATAAATGGATAGAACTGTAAAAACGCTAACTGTTAAAACAGGGGCGACCGTGGCTCAGGGGGTTGGGAAGCGTATCTGTAACCGGAAGGTCGCCGGTTCGATCCCCGGGCTCTTTGTCCTGGTCGTTGTGTCCTTGGGCAAGACACTTTACCCTACTGCCTACTGGTGTTGGCCAGAGGGGCCGATGGCGCGATATGGCAGCCTCGCTTCTGTCAGTCTGCCCCAGGGCAGCTGTGGCTACAACCGTAGCTGCCTCCACCAGTGTGTGAATGCGAGAGTGAATGAATAGTGGCATTGTAAAGCGCTTTGGGTGCCTTGAAAAGCGCTATATAAATCCAATCCATTATTATTATTAAAAATCTCTGTACAGCTGGACAAATGAAAAACCGCCCTTTTCACTAGTTTTAAATATAAAATAGATTTAAGTGAAGTGCTATCAGACTGGTTAAACTTTTTAGAGTTGAAAAACTTCTTGTTTTTATTTTGGTAGAAAACAAAATGTAAGGTAGCCATAATTCAAAATACCTCTACGTGTGGGTTGGATTATTATTATTATTATTTTTAAAATATATACTGACAATTGGGATAGGAATGCAGGCACACAGAGACAGAGACAAAACCTGACAGCGTTACCTTTCGATGCTGGTCGTAGTTGCGTATGAACTCTCGCAGCTGCTCCTCTCTGCTCTCCAGTGTTGTGTACAGCTGCTGCATCTGATTCGCCAAGTCTGCTTTCTCCACCTTCAGCCGCTTACGGTCAGCTTTCATAGCTTCAAAACACAAGCAAACACATTGAGACACTGAGCAGCACATATGTGTCCATCAACAACAGAAAACTGGACAGTAGACAAACAGTAAACAAAGACAAAGCTTTGTAATTACACCACAGAGCCACTAGGTGACACTGTGTCTTCTGTTAATGAGTTACTTTTTCCCTTTACTTTCAGAAGACGGGGCCCGGAGAAAATGATGTAATCATCCCTGAGTCATTCGGTTTCAGGTGGCATGTGGAGTCTTTGTGGACTCATCCTGAAAACAGCGTGATTGGATCTGATTCCTTTCAACTTCATTCACTTTCAGCTCAACAGCAGCGATGCAACTGTGGGTCTTTTGTGCAGGTAGAAACAATACTAATGCTCTCATGAGAGCCCGGGTTCACCAGGTAGGCAAAACTGGAAAAGTGGAACCTGCACTTTCCATAACTGCACATGCATTCCTCCTGTCAGCGTTCAGCGTCCTCACATTTATCACACAGCATTTAAACCTGTTTTGCCGCAGTTACATGACGGTTTACAAGCCTGCAGTTTACCACTATGAGCTGTTGAAAGGACCGCGCAAAGGTAGAACATTAAACTAAAAACAACTGCCTGAGTTTCAAGCAGGACTGGCTTTGCTTTTTGTAAAAAGATGTAAACATGGTGGTGTTGCATAATAATAAAAACAGAACACCCCTAACACATCAGTGTCCGAGCGAAGCTCTTCGCTCATGATCGATGGACATTAATTAAAATGAGGTGAACCTGGAGTTGACTTGGCTGCTCATCAGCTCGGGATGACTAATGTTTCAACTTAGCCACATAAAGACAGAGATTACCTGCTCATTTTAATTTATGCCCCAGAAGAATCACTGGAATTTTACTATTATGGTAATTGGTCTGCTGTTACTTGTGAATGATTTTGATGAATGTGAAAAATGCTGTTGAGTTAATGATTTACACCCACTGCTTTGATCAATGAATCATTCTTATTTGCTTGAAATAGATGAATCAACATATGTTGCTCTAGTAAAGAGAAGCTAATCCCAAAAAGTCATTTTGATAGTTAATGCACCCCCCCCCACACACACACACAACAAGAAGAGAGCCAAAATTATAGTAAACAAATGCAAAAATGGAAAACACCCAGCTATTTGGCATGCTTGTTCTTAAGAGTCGGTAAAGAACATGATAACTCTTAATGTATAGAGTTGAATGTAAAACCACGGACAGTGAGAGATATACTGTCTAGATATAAAACATTTAAGTGAGCCGTTTTATACAAAGAAAACCTGGTAGATGCAGAAGTATAAATGGATAAATAGTTGTTTTATAGATTTTCATACAAACTGTGTTTTTTCCTCAAAGCTGTGAAACAGAAAGTAAACACAGTCATTTCTAACGTTTTATGTCTCAGCAGAGGCAGATAAAAACATTTCCAAACAATCTCAAGTCCATCATTTCTACAGAGAGAAAGATTATTCACATGTGGAAAACATTCAAGCCAATCTTCCAACAAGTAGACATCCCACGCAAATGCCCCCACCCCTCCCTGAAAAAGATTGTGAATTTCAGATTGTGAAACGCTCAGAGAAACTTCAAAAAGGCCAAAAGCTTCATATCAGCCTCCCCAGGCCTCAGTTAGCAAGTTAAATATTAAAGTTCATGGCACTAAGACACATTAAGACAAACCACAAGACTTCTGGAACAATTTTCTTTGGACAGATGAACCTATTGGACCATGCACACACCACTGTATATGCTGCCTGGAAACATTTAATTGAAGCAATTACTGTGAGAAAGCACAATGCAGAAGACGTTTTTGTACGAATACAAAAAAATGACTTTGTAGATCATTTTGATGTCCCAATGTTTGTCATGTAATGGAAAAAAAATAATTTATACTATCTGCTTTTGTTTGGTAAGACAAAGTGGATTTCATTTAATTACAAGATATTCTGGCTTGACATAACATCCCCATGAAAGCTTGGACAGCTGTATTTGCTGTACATTTGAAGTAGGTAGGTGCTGGAAACACGGGGGTTCTGGTAGATTAGGCAAGACGACAAGATGTCTGTTTGCTTCTGACCTTGTAAGGCCTCCTTGGCACGGTCCAGCTCCTGCTCCTTGTCACCCAGCTGCACACGGAGCTCAGTGGCAGAAAGCAGATTGGCAGAGCAGCCGCCCTGGGTCTCCTCCAGGTCTTTAGTCAACATGTCCTTCATTTGCCTCAGCAGGTGGACCTCCTCTTGGAGCTGGACCACCTCTTCACGGAGCAACACTGAAGGAGAGAAAGAGTTTGCAAATTTAGATTATGTATAGAATAAATATGGAGGGTAAGTGTGCAGAAAAAAATTAGAAAGGAGGATGGAAATAAAAGAGTAAACTACAGGGATGTCCAAAAGGGGCAAAATATGCAACAGGAAATGGAAAAATATGAACTAATAACAAAAGTGATAAAATTCTTCAATACATCAAACCACAAAAGTTACAGCTTCCCTTCAGATGTTGCCAGAGGTGTTGCAGAAATGTAGTTACATGCTGAGTGACAGACTCAGGCCTAACACTGGTGATGGTAGTACGCAAGAGACAGCAGCCTGATAAGACTTAATAAAATATAAGCGGCACACACTCGGGCTGTGCTCCTCTGTGCCGTATTTTCCCTCAGCTGTGCAATGCCTCATATCCCTCAGGGGAAACAGGCAAGCAAACATGAGCAGGGAACTAAGGCGAGGACAAACTGAAGAGCGAACGCAGTGGCACAAGCTGGTGGACACATTTGTAAAGCCAGAGGACAGAAACAATGAAAAAGTCCATTGAAGGAAACCCGTACTAGCAAAAGTGTCACGATGATTTATACTGCGCACATAAAGGGTAGAAGGTCTGTTCCAGAAGAACGCAAGAACAAAGACAGATGAAATACGCAGTCAGCCAAAGCATTTCAGCATAGAATAAAACCTGCAAACGCAATGATAGATTTGTAATTTCCCCAAAAAATAACTCAATACCATAGAGCGCTGCATAAAGAAAAAAAAAAGCTATTTGGATCTTATAAGGGATGATGGGTTAATAAATCACGAGTTAAATAAGCAGAAAATTAGTCAAAAAACTGTTTGATTAACAATTTTTCTTGTTAAAAAAAGTGATTTATCACCTTAGCAGATATGCTCGAAAGCATAAGTAACTTTTGACATTTTTCAGACAAAACAAGTTTTGAGGTCCAGGAAAATACGTTGGGTGACTTCTGTTGGGAATCCGACAGACAAAAAATTAATTAACAAATCAGTGAGAAATTGTTAGTTTTAAACAATTTTAAAAAAGGATAAATGTGTGAGTGTGCATTTGTGTATGTGTGAATTACAGGCATTAGTTTTACTTTCTGTTGCATGAATAAGAATCTGCAATCAAGCTAGCGTCACTCAAGGCTCTGATGTTAACTTCAAAAAAAAGCTAAATGTCTGATAGATGGCTGTGTCAAAAGAACAACAGCAAACGCACACACGCACGAAAACATCATGGGCCTTGGGAACAAGAATTCAGAGGTAACCCCGATTTAACCCCGTGTTAAACTGAGAGCACATACACTGGAAAATCATCGAGGGATGTCGTTCGTACAGCAATATTTCAAGTAAAGAAGTGGAGTGCTCCCTAATTTTTAAGGCAATGCCTTCAAAACTTTGTATAAAACTATAGAGAGAGCCGACATCAACGTGAGGAAGCCTGCATCAGAGGAAAAAAGAGAAGGTCTTAGCAGGCCTGCAGCCAGACGTTGTGGGGCTGCAGCAGCTCCGATAAGAGAGGAGGGGACAGTCCATCGGTCTCTGTCAGCGCGGGACTCTGGAAGCACAGCGGGCAGCTCTGTGCTGCATGTGACAAAAAGAGTTTGTTTCCCAGAGAGAGCAATCTCTCATGGCCTTCTTGCAGCTTAAATCCATTTATTCATCTGTTTACCTGCAGGCTCTCCTATTTTTGTCACGGGAGCCCGGCAGCTGCTTTTGATGACACTGGACAGAATTGGACATTATTTCTGAGGACGCTTTATATTTGTTTCACTGCGATGTGGATGCTGATCGACTCTTGTCATTAGCTGTCAGTTTGGAAATCGCTGCATTTTAGTTGCCAAGTATTAGCATCATTACACGCTTGTGTTATGTCCATTAAGCTGTACCTCAATAACAAAGTGTGAGCATTTTGTCCTAAGGGTATCTACGGTGGATTTAGTGAGAAATGTGTTTAACTTACAAAGAATCAATAACACATTTCTCCCAAATCCAATTTTGCATTCATTTTCAGCATCATCCTCTTTCACAATTAAATCGGCTCACACAGCAGACACAGGCTAAAATACACAGAAATGGACCTGCAGGAAGTTTTTTTCTTTTAAACAACTCAAATTGTGGTAAAACTTGAGGAAAAATAAAAGTTAAGACTCCTTCTGCAGATGTATGTGATCGTTTCACATCTCAAAAAGAGTGAAAGGACATAAAGAAAAGGGTGCCGACAGAGGCGAGCCATCCATTGCCTGTACCTACAGATAATTCACCTCCATATACACTGTTTTATGCAATCTAAAAAAGCAATTTAAACTGACAGGAGTCATATAAGCCACACAAAGCAGTATGCTCTCTGAGCTTTGAGTGGTTGTGCAGAGAGCTTGGCAAAGCTATTAGTGTCCTCCCACATAAGAAGAGAACCCACTCTCTTCCTACTCAGCAGCGTCCCATTCAATGAACTTCTCATCCAAGCCTCCCATTAGTTTGTCCATCAAAGCCAGTCAGTAGCAGGTCAATCTCTGTCCCTTTTCCTTGCATAGCAGAGCTATTAAAACCCAGCACGCACACGCACACACAGCTGAGGAGAGCACATATAGTAGCTGTAGGCTTATGATGAGGTGTTAGAGAAAGCAGAGGCACCGGGAAGGTTAAGTGGGTGTTGGAAATGTGTTGATTGGTGGTCAAAGACCTGAACTAGTCTCCTGTGAACCATATGCAGGATTAAAGTGGCCTCATTTGTATACATGACTGATCAAAGATGCTTAACGTGCACTACGGTGGAATATTAAACTTGGATGAGAAAGTCCATTTAAAGCTAATGCTCTTGTTGCATTTTAAAAGCAGTTTGTGTCTCACTATGCACAAAAAATGTCCCGGTTAATAGAAGGAGGCCACAAACCGAATAGAAAAAAAAAAATGGTAGAAGTAGTTCCAGAGAACTTTAAATGTGAGGCTTGTGGATTAACTAGAAATGGAAAATATTTCTCATGAGACATCTAAACACATTTTCCAGGACTCTTGGGGATAGATCTACTCTATTTTCAATTGGGCTTACGATTTTCCTTTTTGATAAAGCATATAGTTAGGGCTGAATCAGATGACCCTGAATGCTCCTTTAGTTATGCTGCAATAAGCCTGGGCTGCTGGGGGCTTCCCATGAGTGTTTCTTCTTCACTCACTATGTGTTTATACACCACTCTGCAGTTAAACATTAGTTATTATTAACCTCGGACTCTCTTCCACAGTGTATATTTTATCCTGTCTTCCTCCCATCACACCGGACAGGTCACAGCAGATGACCGGCTTTCCCTGGGCCTGGTTCTGCTGGAGGTTTCTTCCTGTTAGGGGGATTTTTTTCCTTCCCACTGTCGCCAAGTTTTTTCCCAGCAGGAATGGATTCATTTTTGGGGGACTTTCTCTATTATTATATCATAGATGTTACAATGTTATGATATGTTACATGTTACAACACAAATCCCTTTGAGGCAACTGTTGCTGTGGTTTGGTGCTGTATAAATAAAATTGAATTGAACAGATCACATGATAGGGTGGGGCTAGGATTCACAATGGTTCACAATCAACCATGGCTGATTGTGACCCACACCTTTTTTCACACAGAGTGGGTGTGATTAGGCAGAGGATCAATAGGGGGTTCATGACCCTCTTGGGGACAGTCTCATAGGGCTTAAAGTCTGGGACTCTCCACCAGTTGCTCTTAGAACTCAAGAAGTTTCTTGGATGAGAGGTGAAACGTCTTCAGGGACTACAGACACCTTCTTTCCAAGCTCTTTAGGCTACAATGACCTGGATGCCTGAGAACCTTCACAGATGAATTGAACAGATATCTCAAACCTGCAACAGTCCTTGCAGCTAACTGCTAGCATGGTAACATTTCTGTAATTTGGGTGTACTTGTACCTTTTAACAAAGCACTTTTGTTCCACAAGATATCATAAAGAGCAGCCTCTCCAGCAGCATGGAATATTTTTAATAAGCAAAACCATTAGAATGACATTTGACAGTCGAGCAGGGCGTCAAAAATCTCTGCAGTGACAGCAGCTAACCATTCTGCCTTGAGGAGCTATGATGTGCATGGTTGTCATTTTTCCGCCTTGGTCTTCCTGCCAATTCAGATTTGTGTAATTTAAAAGTACAGTATACAAGACAAACCCAGAGGCAGTGGTGCTGGCTGTTCTCCTCTAATCTCTCCGGTACAGTAAGTGAAAACAGCTGAGCTGGATAACGAGGGCACACGGAGCTTTCTAAGATCCACACATGCTGTAATACCCCACACCTCTCTCTTAAATACCTGATGAACCTTCATTAAGGAGCGTAGGTGGGTTTTCTGAGATTTTCACTTTAGGCTCTAAGAGATCACCTTTTCTTGTATAAAACAAAATGTAACAAACAAATGTATGTGACAGCTTCATGGCAGAAAAATCAAGAGGAGGCCGTTCAGTCTGGTTGAACAGCTTTAGCTTCCATGGAACGAACATGTTGGCAAGACACTTGTTAAAAATATGAAGGAAGTTATTCCTGCAGACAAAGAAGATCCGGCCAAAACTTTCAAATCATTTTTCTGCATGAGCTCTTATTAAGCTAAAAGTGCAGCACCACACAAAGTGCAAACCACAGCTTTGGCTTCTTTTAGAAGATTAGTATTGAATTAGAATAGAATAGCTTCTTATTGTCACCGTTACAAGAACAATGAAAGGCAGTTTGGCATTTCTCCATGTGTGTGAAGTACACAATAGCGTAAGTATTTACACAATAACTAACAAATTTACACAAGAAAGATATGTACAAGTTATACATACACCTGCAAACATACACGCACATACATACACATATGAATATATACACATATGCATCCGTACATACATACACACACACACACACACATATTTTCACATACACGCTTACATCTATATACTTACACATACATGCCATCTAACTAGCAGGTGCATTGAGAGGTGCAGTGTGATCAGTGATATTGCACATTGAGTGGG